CCCGTTCCGCCGCCTATGCTTGTTGGCTGGGATTCCGTTTATACCGGTCCAAATCTGGGCATGTCGGAGACCAGAGTTGCCGGGACAAAACGGACTAGAGCCAAACCAAATTGCCGTCTGGTTCAAACTTCAAAGTGATGCCATGCCGATTGCCAGGAGGGTCGTCGCCCCTCCCCGGGCCAGTAACGTTCTGAAAAAACAGCCTAGGCAAGGGACATGAATATGATCATTGCTCACATTCCACAGCTTACAGTGCTGAATTGGTGAGAACACCCTGCATTTCGAGTGATTTATTTTTCGTTCGGGGATTAAAAGATTGTTTAAGGTTATGCTAATTTTTATTTTCAGCGTCATTCCACAAACTTCCCAGCAAGCAAGGTCTTAGCGATTGAGGTTGATGAATAAACGACTTCAAATTCATCCTGAAGGGACCAGCTACATGTATCAGTATCTTTTTTAAAATAAGATGCGTTAGGTGTACTCCAATTTCAAATATGACCCTTTTCCCCTGCCGAAACAAGGGTGGTTTGACTGGTTTGAAAGCAAGGGATGACGGTTTTGAATGCTGAGTTGTGATTGGTGCGCATTCGTTTGATACTGCGTGCATTTTGAACGTAGCGAAAATCGAACATTTTCTTTGCATTTTCCACAGTCGGATTAGTAGATTTGGGTGCCAGTTACTGGTATGTTTATCCGTTAGTATAATATTTATTCTATAAAGTGAATAATACTGATCATACTGATATTAAACTTGAACTCTTTTTCATCTGATATCCCCCTGTTCCACACCACGGGCTCAGGTATATTGGAGTTGCCTCTGTATTTGTACTTATGTTTTTGTCACATAAATTTTGCCTGATATCCTTGAGTTGATTCCTGATTGATACATTTTTTAGTATAATACCTGATGCTGGTATAATAAACATCATGAATCCAGCTATCAGCATTTCAAATTGTAATCCTTTCAATTTTAGCATATAAATATGACATCCGTGCTTCCTGGAATAACAATGGTGTGTAGCCTTTTTTATTGTTATTAAGAATTCACTCCCCCTGTCAGATTCAGGTTAAAAAGGTGATTTTTTATGGAGGAAAGAGGGGACTGCAACTGAATCTTTTTATGAAAATTTGTTATTTTCTCTCTGGTCATCTTTCTCCAAAATACATAAGATGAAATGTTGGTAAATGTCAAGATTAAGTCCTGAGCAGATTTCATGGATAATTTTACAATTATAGTTAGGACCTAAACTTGACATCTACCAAAATGTCTGTGCGCACTTGCAGACTGCAGTTGCTTTGCCTTGGATTGAACACTGAGGGATATACGCTGTGACTGAGAATCAGAATAGGTCAGGTACCCCTAACCCCATGTAAACCAAATTCATTTGTTAACAGTGGATACCATAAAATGAGGCTATCAGGGTGGGCTCAGGCTGGGTCATGACTCAAAAGCATAGATGGAGAAGTATAAGGAACTCAGCATGAGTGTTCTAGCACTACAAATTTCAGCTTCAGGTGCCTGATTTACTTTCGAGCAGCAAGAGATGGCGGGGTCAAGATCCTGGTGTGGTGGATTTTCAGGACTGAAACATCCAGAGATCCTAACAAATTTTCAGCCCATCAGTATTTCCAAAACATTTTAAATTGAAATGCTTTGAATTTTTCTAAGAAACATCAATTCAAGAAGATTTGCACCCCACAGAACTTTGTGGAAAGGCCACTGACTAACATAATTTTAAGCCAGTCTAATTGCTTAGTGAGCTTACCAGTAGATGCTTACCAGTAGAGTAGATGGAAATAAGGAGACATGTGCCGCAGTGCAAAGGCAAAAACTACTATGTGAGGTCAGAGTCTGACCTCACATAGGTAGTAGTTTTTGCCTTTGCACGGCAGTGTGAGCTTTGGCTCATAAAGGCTGCCTCCTGGTCATGTTGGGTATTGGTCATAGTTGTGTTTGAATGTGTTGAAACAGCATATAATTACAGCACAAGACTAGCAATAGGATTGACTGTATGTATGCCAATAAGTAAAATTGATAGAAAGATGATATTTTAAGCAGGCAATTGATACAAATATTCAGGCTTCACATGCACTTTTCATGAAAGCTGTCAAAGTGATGACAGGCTGAAAAATCGGACTTACATATGAGGCCTTCACAGTTCACAGTATGTGACCACATTAAGGACCATAGCATATTCATAATATGTCCATCTCCTCAAATTGTTTCTTTTTTATTCTTGTCCATTACTCACTCAGATAGATTTTGATGGAAAACAGGTCTAGGTTTAGCCTCTAGGGGACATGAATGTGGCACATCATTGCAAACCAGGACCACGATGTGTCAAAAGAAGGAAATGTACCTATTCCAAAGATGAAATCATGGATTTAATGGATGCAGTAAACAAGGGGATTAGTTTCAGATCAGGTGTTATAGATTCCAGGAGCTGTCATCTATCCTTATCATCAACTGACTCCTAGGAAGGAGCCCAACACATTGGCATCATTCGTGCCTGTATCATGCTCCAATAGAAAGTTAACTAATAGGTTAAAAACCCTGACCTTAACATGTTGTTTGTTTTAGCTCAAACTTGGCAATGTCTGGTCTAGAAGAGCCTACAGAGTTGTTGGTACAGGTGCAAAAGTCGTCCAACCGGCAGGGTGAAACTGTGATCCAGGTGATGCGTCATGTGGATCCTCCGTCATCGCCTGGTGCCGAGGACGACAATGAAGACGGCGTCGATGATAGCCTGCCCATGGACAGCAGCGGCAAGAAGATGTACCCGCAGCGGTATCGGACTGCCTGGGAGGAGGTACCCGCCTTCCGCGATTGGCTGATGCCCGTACCAGGTGACCCATTCTCGGCGGCCTGCGCCTCGTGCGAGACATCCATGAAAGCTCATCGGCAGCTGCTGGTGGAGCACTGCAAGAGCAAGAAGCATCAGCGCCAGCTTGGTCACCGAAACCCGGACTTTACTCCGGTGCCGGCGGCACGGCGTGGCCGGAAGCGGCCGACTCCGTCTTCGGTCACCACCTCCTCACCGGCGCCCTTCCGCAGAATGATGAAACAGCTGCGGCCCGAGCGCGAGCCCGAACTGGAGGTCTCCTACAGCGATACCAGCCGTGTGACGTATGCCATCGGCTTGGGAGCGCAGCGCGTTGGCTTCATCGGATCGGGCAGCGTTGCGCGCTCCATTGCCAAGGGCATGCTCGACAAAGGCCTCGTAGTGCCCAACAAAGTGATGGTGAGCGCGCCCAGCGACCGGAATTTCGAGACCTGGAGAAAGTGGGGATGTCGCGTTACCAATTGCAACGACAGCGTCATCAGTAGCAGCGAGATCATCTTTCTGGCGGTAAAGCCCTCTGCCCTGGAGGCACTGGTCGCCGATTTGTCCGTGATCCCCGAAGACAAGTCTCGGTGCTTCATTTCACTCCTCTCGGGAGTCACCCGCGAGCGTGTAGCGTCGCTGCTGGCTGCGCGCCGACAGCTCCAGGCAGACATGGCCGAGCTACACGTGGTGCGCTGCCAGCCAAGTACCCCCCTCATGATTGGGGAGGGTTCGTGCTCGTACTCGGCTGCGCCGGACTTGCCGCACAGCTGGCTGCTAGCTGTCGAGACCATCTTCTCCGCGCTCGGCATGTGCTACAAGGTGGAGGAGAGTCTGATGGATGCGCTTGCCGGCGCCTTCAGCAGTGGCCCGGCCTTTGCGTACGCGTTCGTCGAGGCGCTGTCGGCGGGCGCCGTCAATATGGGCGTGCCGTGGCACCTGGCGCGTCCCATGGCGGCCCAGACGATGCTGGGCGCCGCGCGCATGCTGATGGAGACGGGCTCCACGGCGGCCGAGCTGCGCGACGAGGCTTCCTCGCCGGGCGGCACCACGCCCGCTGGCCTCATGGCGCTGGAGAAGAACGGCATGCGCTTCGCCGTGATGGCCGCCGTGCAGGCTGCCACTGAACGTGCGCGCGAACTAGGCAGGGAGGCGTCTGTCGCCAGCGGTGATCCGATTGGGTGATGAGAGCCAGCCTCGAGTGTGGCGTATGTCTGTCCGATTTTAAAATAGTTTCGGAACATCCTACCCATTCCTTTGTTTTTGTTCTCGATTGCTATTGAGTCATAACTGGTATTCTCACAATTTCCGGTCCGTATTGTATGAATTCATTTGAAGTCAGAGGAATGATACGCTATCACAACCCAGTGCGTGGTTCGACCCTGTGTTCACTATTCAATGTGTATTCCAGTAAGCCCAAGGTTACGTTCGACATAACCGTGTCAGTTTGTGTGGCAGATGAACGATGCCGTTTTGCAGGCACATAGTGCAAACGCGATTTGTGTTTCGCAACCACCGTTGATGAATGAAACAGGCCTCTTGAAGTATGTAATGTTGGAATTGAAGTCATGATCTAACGCCCTTCCATGCCAATTGTCGTCTGGAAGCTCGTGTTCGGGAAAAATCAGTTCATGTGGTATTACTTGCCATTTGCTTTGATGCAGGGTTTCCACGTCGCTAATCTATGTTCTGCTTCTCCGCCTGCGTCAACGTAACGATAGTGATTGTAGTTTCGCTGGCCTCCTATCATTCCTAGCTTAGACAGCGCGTTGTACATAATCATCATCACTGCATGTCGTTTGTGCATTTTAGGCCCATAGTAGCGGTGTCAATAAAAGTTTAGTTCTTTCCAGTGGTACTGCTGGTTTTTGATAAGCTCCTGCAAAGGGAGGACTTAAATAACATGACATGTTTGCAACGGATACGGGTCACACGAGCATGAGATAGGTATTACGCTCAACTTGCGAAAGATCGAGAAATTCTGATGTTTTGAACGTTCTATTCTGCCTAGCCAGCATTTTTTTTTTAAATAAAAAAAACGTTCATATCGCAAACCGGCATTTCATGAACAAAACTTTCATTTTACGTGACCCCGACCAAAAAGTACCAGGCTACCTCCCGTATCACGTATGTAACTGCTATTGCCCTCTGTTTCTTTTACAATATTACAATGTGTGACACGATCAGCTAATGTATTTTGCATCTGTAGTTCAGTTCACACCATTCACGATACCACCCCCGAGCCGGCCAGCTGACTAGCGGTAGGTCTTCCAGAGGCGGTCCTTGTACGCCACCTGGCCGGTGCTGAACTCCTTCTCCTTCCTCGTCTGAAAGGTCACAAGGTACCGCGTTACACGGCTGGCTGCGCGTATATGGACCAGGGGCTTGAGATGAGGTGAAATATGCAGGCTGTTGGCCATAAAGCCTACACTGCAACGCACCATTCTGGCGCAGAAGTGATGACCATTCGTGCAACGTCAAAAAGTTGTCACTAACGAACTCAACATACATAAAATGTTGCATTTCAAATGATCTCAAAGATCGCATTCATGACCTTCGAAAATGTTATAACATACTAATTCTAATTTACCTCGTGGCTCGTTACCTTTAAGTTAATTAAAAACAGGCTTGATGCAGCACATGGACTTTCAACACAATGCCTACGAGTAATCGCGAATAATTTAAATGACAACAGAGTTTGGTATGCCATTATCGACCACACGTAAGAGAGGCGGTCCTTCCGGCAGACACTGCCGACAGCAGATACTGACCCGGTCCCAGTGCATCAGCTGGGCGAACAGCAGGATCGGGATGGCGGTGATGCCGATGCCGCGGAAAAAGTTACCCAGCGTCGGCCGGAACGATTCGTACTGGGTCACCCGCATCGACATGAACCGCTGCATAGCCGGGTCGAACTGCAAACAGAAAACGTGCGCGCTTCACAGCCCTACTCAGCGTTCACTGTTCAGCTTTGGTTGTACATACATCCACCTGTGAGCTGGGCAATGTGCAACAAAGGGAGCATTGGACCCTTGGTACTTGTATCATGCATCCTTTTTATATATGTTTCAGCGTTGAATGTTGAAAAAATCGTGCTTGGGGATACATCACGCTAAGTCTAGAACAGATAGTCCTATAAACAAGAAAGAGGCTCCGCTTATAAATTTCATTCGAGTGTATTGCACTCTTTACAGGCGGAATTCAGGACTACCTCTGAAGCCTCCGCAGGGCTTGTTGCGCAGGTCCTGACCTCTGCCGACCGACCGGGAAACTCCGCTCACCAGGCGCCATCTGTTCTGGCGTGCCGTGCCGATTCCCAATACAGTGAACCTGTTTAATAACGTGTCCCCATGGCCTGACTGACACCTTCTGTCCCCATCACAAGACTTCATCCAGCCTGTACGGCGACCGCTGTCATGTTCCCTGGCCGTCGGGTGTAGCAAATATTGGGCGCTATTTTTTTTTTTTGTCCCACTGAAGGGTTAGTATATTTTCCTTTACAAACACAACAGTACAGTTGCATCAATCGCTGCTTTAACAAAACAACTCTTCACAAATGAAACAAACAAAACAGAAATACAAATAACTTAGGTAATAAGTGTAAATAAAATACGTCAATAAGGCTAAACAAGTCGATATAGTTTTGCGTGTGTGTGTTTGTGTGTATGTGTGTGTGTGGGGGTATGTGTTTGTGTATGTAAGGTGTGTGTGTTTGGCGCTCCAGACGGGCCGCCAGCCCCCGCCCGCACCGCCCGGCAACTTGTCGGGCGGCGCCCCCTAACCACCGACCGGGCGGGCGAACCGTCCACCCGACGGCCGGCGATCCGCCCGCCCGGCCGGCCGACCGGCCCCTTCAGGGAGGGCCGGTCCCGGGTTGGCCCGGATGGGTCTTAGGGGCGGGGGCCTAATCTTCAGCGGGAACTGTTCCCCGAGTGGGGATGGACAGTACCCGACTATACATGTATTTATGTAGGTGTGTTTATGTTGGTATGCGTGTAACTGTGTAGGTGGAGTTGTGTGCTTGTGTATGTGTGCTCTCGCTATCATGAGTAAATCTGCTATAGCACATAATACAAAGAAATTCGCTTTTAACGGAGAATGTGCCTCAATGATTTCCATTTTTGCTCAAACCTGTCAATCTGATTATTAATGCGACTTGCAAGGTACTCTTTTTGAATTTCGTTTTTAATTGCTATTACCAAATGTTCTACACTCGGCTTCTCACTGTTATTACGTGCTTTAAATATTACTGCTTTGGTGATTGTTATTATAAGTACTTGTAATGAGTCCTTATTTTGAAGAAAGAACCATGACTGAACGTCATTTGGAAAGGTTAAGTTATATTTCGTGTTAAGAAAACTTGCTGTGTTTTGCAAGAATGTTTGGGTTACTGAGCAGTACCAAAACAAATGTATTATTGTTTCTGGTTCTTGCTTGCAAAAAGTGCAGGATTCCGTGTTCGATATTTTTATTTTATGTAAGAAAGTATTCGTGCTTATTATTCTGTTGATTATTCGATAATGAAGATATGATAAATACACAGATTTTGTAGCTGTTTTTATTTGCCACATACTTCCTACTTGGAAGCATCCAATGTCGCGGACCCATTTTTGCTTTAATTTGTCACCCGATGCTTTATATTTATCCCCTAAGGCCTTTATTAATAATGTGTATATGAACTTATTGACTTTTGGTTTACTCAGTACTATTTGTGTCCTGTACGGTATGTTTGGTCTTTGGAGTAATACATTGTTTGCTGTTCTTACTTCGTGGGGAAGACTTCGAATTAAGGATTCATAGCATAGGAATGACATTGTGATACGATATTTTGTTTTTATTTCTTCCCTTGTCAGAAGATTCCCTGTATCTGAGTTAAAAAGATCACCGATAAAGCTAAGCCCTTGTTTTTCCCACGACGAAACTGTGGAAGTTCTAAACTTCGTGTAATCTGAAAACCAAATTGGCTCTGTAAGTATTTTGTTTGGTTCCATGTCAAGTGCTTTATTGAATTGAATTAATGCGTCAATAACATCACGCCAGAATGCATTATATATGCGAGTTTTTACATTTGTTAGCTTTGCCGTGCCATACATTAGAAGTTTGTAAGGATCGATATGTTCGTTTTTTGAAATCGCTGTAAAAGCAGATTCGTTTGTGAGTCGTTTAATCCATGCTATCTTCAAGGTATGTATGAATGTGTTAACGTCAACCATCTGGAGTCCATCTGAATTGTAACCCTGGATTAATTTAATTCTTTTAACACGGTCTGGCTTACCATTCCATAGAAAGTCATAAAACATGCTTTCTATTTTTTTGATAAATAATTTAGACGGGTTCGGTAAAGCCATTAATATATGCACAAGTTTTGCAAGCAGCAATGATTTTATTACCGTAATCTTGCCTATTGGGGTAAGGTAGCGTCTTTTCCATTGTTTAATTTCGGTTTCTAGTGATGCTATTTTCAATGCGAGATTTTGATCGGTTATGTTGGTAACGTCCCGAGTGAATCGTATCCCTAATATTTTAATTTCATCTACAAACTTTATTTGGTGTGCTATACTATTGTTTGGAAATTGTGGTGGAGCTACTGGACTGAGCAACAGACATGACGTTTTATTCCAGTTGAGCTTCAGACCAGATTGGGACGAGAAATAATTTAGTTCTTCAGTTGCGCCTACAAGTGAGCGCTCAGATCCATCGAGGAACAGGATAGTGTCGTCTGCGTATTGGCTGATGCGAACTTCTGTATGCGTATTTATAGCAACTCCTGATATTTTATGTGAATTTATTATTTGTTGGGCTAAAATTTCTACCGCTATATTAAATAGATATCCTGATGCTGGGTCTCCTTGTCGAATTCCTCTTTGTATGTAGATTTTCTCGCCTAGAAAGCCATTGAGTAATATTCGAGAAAAGTTTTGTTGATTTAAATACAGGTTATTAATAATATTTATAAATTGTATTCCGAAGTTCATATTTTTCAAGACAACTCTCATGTAATCCCAAGATAAAGTTTCAAAGGCGGCCTCAAAATCTGCAGCTAATATTTGGTACTCTTTATTTTGGTACTTGTTGCAAGCTATAATATCATATACTAATTTTGTATTCTCTCCAATATATCGTCCCTTTATGTAAGCCGATTGCGTGGGACTTATTATGCTACTTATCACTTGTTTAAACCTGTTTGCTATTGCCGTGGAAATAATTTTATAATCAACATTCAACAAGGATATTGGTCGCCATCCCTGTAACACATGGTTTGATTTTCCACTTTTCGGTATTAAAGTAATGATGCTTTCACGATGTGTTGGTATTGTGGAGTTTTTGTCATGACACTCATTAAATGCGCGAAGTAATAAAGTTCCTAATGGTTCCCAGAAACAACGGAAGAAATCTACTGTAAATCCGTTGCTGCCAGGGGTTTTTCCTTTTTTCATACTATTGAGGGATGTTGTTAATTCTTGAAGTGTTATATTTTTTTCTAGCAACCCTTTTTCGCGATCCGATAGGGCATTTTTAACGTTCTTTTGAATAAAGGATGGATTCGTCTCATTGTCCTTCCTACGTTGATATTTATTTTGCAGGGTTTGGGTGAAAAGGGATAATATATTATTTTGTTTTGTTATTGTTTTATTTTCATGTTGTATATATTGTATTGTCTTTTTAACAGCGTTCCTTTTTTCTAAGGACAAAAAGTATTTTGAGCTTCTTTCTCCTTCTTCGTGCCATTGTGTTCTAGACCGCACTATTAACCCATCTATGTATGGTTTCCTATGTTCCTCAAGATCTTCTTGAGTTTTGCGTAAACGATTTGCATTATCATCGCATTTATCTCTGTTAAATGCTTGATGAGCTAACTGAATCTTATTATTTAGGTCCTCTTCTTTTTTCTTCTTTTGCGTGCTTTTCTTTTGCAATACTTTATAGTTTCGCCTCTAATGGTCATTAGTAGCGTTTCGTACATTAGGCTATCACTAATTGTGAGTTGGATCGAGGAGTAGTTTGAAAAATGGTTTGCAAATTCTCTATTATAAATGGGAGCTGTATACTGAAATACAGTATTTCTTATTAACGTATTTATCATATCTTTATATTCGGATTCTTGGAGAACTGCCTCGTTCATTTTCCAGAGTCCAGGTCCTTTCTCTAGTTCAGGTAATTTTAGGATCATTGTTACAAAGGAATGGTCTGACCTATATCCTGGTTTAATTTTTGTTTCAAGCACTGATGTTACTAGGTGTTCACTAACAAAAAACATATCTAATCGGCCGCATTTAAGTGGATTATTTCTGGCCCAAGTAAATTCTGATTGGTATGGATGTTTAACTCTCCAGATGTCTACAAGTGAATCTTCATTTGCAAACCTTAGAAATACCCCTTTTGCGTTCCTGTTGTACTCTCGTGCGTAATTGAAGGAATCGACAGATGGGTTTATTACAAAATTAAAGTCGCCTCCTAGAATCGTGTGATCTGTATCGTATGTTCTCATTGTAGCTATAATTTTTTGGTAAAAATTTGGATCGTCGTTATTAGGACCGTAAATATTTACGAGCAAATAGGTTTCTGTACTAATCTTACAAACTACTATAATGAAGTTTCCACAATCTGAATGTTTTGTTTCTATAATCTCGCTTTGTACGTTTCGCTTAATCAAAATGCTTACACCTCTACTACGGTTTGTGTGGCATGAATGGTAGCATTTACCTGGCCATAAGCTATTAAAGTACTTTGTTGACACATCAGTGTTGTGCGTATCTTGTAAGAAAATAATCTCGTAATTTTGTTTTCTGATATAATTCAAAACGTCTCTACGTTTTCTCAAGTCGCCAAGACCTCTACAATTTATAGTTACAAATTTTAAATCAACCATTGTGCAGTATGCTCAAGCAAAAACGGAATCCATCGAGAGCAGCACATTGAAATCTCTGATTGAACGAATGCGTGTGCGTTGTCTGAGTGTGTTGGGGTGTGTGTTGATGTGTAGATGTATGCGTGAGTGTGTGTGCTTGTGGATATGATCGGTAGTACAAGAGGTTTAACCATACATGACAAAAACAAGCAGAAAACGACATATACGTTAAAAAATCACAAAAAAAAACGAAAATAGTTTCGGAACATCCTACCCATTCCTTTGTTTTTGTTCTCGATTGCTATTGAGTCATAACTGGTATTCTCACAATTTCCGGTCCGTATTGTATGAATTCATTTGAAGTCAGAGGAATGATACGCTATCACAACCCAGTGCGTGGTTCGACCCTGTGTTCACTATTCAATGTGTATTCCAGTAAGCCCAAGGTTACGTTCGACATAACCGTGTCAGTTTGTGTGGCAGATGAACGATGCCGTTTTGCAGGCACATAGTGCAAACGCGATTTGTGTTTCGCAACCACCGTTGATGAATGAAACAGGCCTCTTGAAGTATGTAATGTTGGAATTGAAGTCATGATCTAACGCCCTTCCATGCCAATTGTCGTCTGGAAGCTCGTGTTCGGGAAAAATCAGTTCATGTGGTATTACTTGCCATTTGCTTTGATGCAGGGTTTCCACGTCGCTAATCTATGTTCTGCTTCTCCGCCTGCGTCAACGTAACGATAGTGATTGTAGTTTCGCTGGCCTCCTATCATTCCTAGCTTAGACAGCGCGTTGTACATAATCATCATCACTGCATGTCGTTTGTACATTTTAGGCCCATAGTAGCGGTGTCAATAAAAGTTTAGTTCTTTCCAGTGGTACTGCTGGTTTTTGATAAGCTCCTGCAAAGGGAGGACTTAAATAACATGACATGTTTGCAACGGATACGGGTCACACGAGCATGAGATAGGTATTACGCTCAACTTGCGAAAGATCGAGAAATTCTGATGTTTTGAACGTTCTATTCTGCCTAGCCAGCATTTTTTTTTTTTTAATAAAAAAACGTTCATATCGCAAACCGGCATTTCATGAACAAAACTTTCATTTTACGTGACCCCGACCAAAAAGTACCAGGCTACCTCCCGTATCACGTATGTAACTGCTATTGCCCTCTGTTTCTTTTACAATATTACAATGTGTGACACGATCAGCTAATGTATTTTGCATCTGTAGTTCAGTTCACACCATTCACGATACCACCCCCGAGCCGGCCAGCTGACTAGCGGTAGGTCTTCCAGAGGCGGTCCTTGTACGCCACCTGGCCGGTGCTGAACTCCTTCTCCTTCCTCGTCTGAAAGGTCACAAGGTACCGCGTTACACGGCTGGCTGCGCGTATATGGACCAGGGGCTTGAGATGGGGTGAAATATGCAGGCTGTTGGCCATAAAGCCTACACTGCAACGCACCATTCTGGCGCAGAAGTGATGACCATTCGTGCAACGTCAAAAAGTTGTCACTAACGAACTCAACATACATAAAATGTTGCATTTCAAATGATCTCAAAGATCGCATTTATGACCTTCGAAAATGTTATAACATACTAATTCTAATTTACCTCGTGGCTCGTTACCTTTAAGTTAATTAAAAACAGGCTTGATGCAGCACATGGACTTTCAACACAATGCCTACGAGTAATCGCGAATAATTTAAATGACAACAGAGTTTGGTATGCCATTATCGACCACACGTAAGAGAGGCGGTCCTTCCGGCAGACACTGCCGACAGCAGATACTGACCCGGTCCCAGTGCATCAGCTGGGCGAACAGCAGGATCGGGATGGCGGTGATGCCGATGCCGCGGAAAAAGTTACCCAGCGTCGGCCGGAACGATTCGTACTGGGTAACCCGCATCGACATGAACCGCTGCATAGCCGGGTCGAACTGCAAACAGAAAACGTGCGCGCTTCACAGCCCTACTCAGCGTTCACTGTTCAGCTTTGGTTGTACATACATCCACCTGTGAGCTGGGCAATGTGCAACAAAGGGAGCATTGGACCCTTGGTACTTGTATCATGCATCCTTTTTATATATGTTTCAGCGTTGAATGTTGAAAAAATCGTGCTTGGGGATACATCACGCTAAGTCTAGAACAGATAGTCCTATAAACAAGAAAGAGGCTCCGCTGATAAATTTCATTCGAGTGTATTGCACTCTTTACAGGCGGAATTCAGGACTACCTCTGAAGCCTCCGCAGGGCTTGTTGCGCAGGTCCTGACCTCTGCCGACCGACCGGGAAACTCCGCTCACCAGGCGCCATCTGTTCTGGCGTGCCGTGCCGATTCCCAATACAGTGAACCTGTTTAATAACGTGTCCCCATGGCCTGACTGACACCTTCTGTCCCCATCACAAGACTTCATCCAGCCTGTACGGCGACCGCTGTCATGTTCCCTGGCCGTCGGGTGTAGCAAATATTGGGCGCTAAAGCGGTCCAAAATACCGATGGGCTCAGGAGTCAGATACTATCCCCTAAGCTGATGAGAATCACGGAACAGTTACAGTTTGAGATGTTCCCACGAAAGTAAACAAGCTGAAAGTCCCAATTGCATTCAGCTTCTAGCTGAACTGAGTGTGCCACCAGCAGCCTTGGGACACAGACACAAAACGAAAAAGTGGGAAGCAAGCAATGGCCATATTTTAATTATATGATGAGCAACAGAGCAATACATAATCAGATGATGGTCCTTAAAAACCATTTCCATCAAATTATGTATGATTTTTCTTTTTTAATTAGGAGCTATTTTGAGAGTTATTTAGATATTCCTATGCAACAAGGAGTGTTTATAACCACTGCCCCCCCCCCCCCATCCTAATTCTGCTCATCAATTTTATTTTGGTGTCTGCAGATATCAGAAATGGCAAGAAGAAATGGGCAAGTCTGAAGCTTGTTTTACAATTTTGATACACTCTTTGCTACTGCTAGAGTTATGCAAAAATTCAGGCAACCAGAGGCCAGCAATAAGCCATTTTCAAAATTCAAGCATTTTCTGAAAGGTAACTAAGCTAAAATGATCAAGTACCATCAACTGTTAGCCATAGTCTCTGGATCAATTATTTCAATTTACCCATTGAAAACTGACCCATGGACCATGGTCTGGACAACAAATTTCCAATCATTGTGTTTTGATCAATTGCCTCCACTCTATTCAACTTAACAAGTGGTGCTACCATAATCATTGCAGAATCATTCAATTATGATAATTACTCCACACTGCATCCAACACCAGCTGATGACAATCAGCTGATGTTAACACATTTATGCAGATTACATGGTTATTTTAGTAGCTGAAGACCTATCATTCACCATGAGCAGAGCTGATGACTGATGTTACCTATGCTACTGAAATGGATTGCATCTAGGACAAGATTAAAGGCTGATAGCTCTCCTATGATAGAGAGAATTTACCAGAGGGGCATAATGTTAATAATAAGCCAGTAGCCACAGAATCTGAATGACATTCACATAAAATCATGTATGTTCAGATTACTCAGAATCATTAGTTAGGTACACATGGATTAAATATCAGAGCAAATAATACATTATAAATTTATAACATTCACACCACTGACTGAGGTGGAATCTAAAAAAGGGTGCCTGGGGCGATTTGAGCAAGCCGCTCTTGAAATTTGCTCGCACAAATCACGTGACAATTAGTCTGTGGAAGGCAGTAAGATGGGTAGAATTTTGTTGCAGTCACATGACTTAGTATGTCATCTGGCACCCTATTTTCAGATTTCACCTTGAAAAACATGATTAGCAATCTTGATCTTCAAAACAAGTTGGCTGCATGACAAAAATAAAATCACATCGAGAAGTGTTTTCATCATCCAAGGTAAAGTTGAAACCAGACACAACCCAAACAAGCCTGGGGTCTTTTAACTCGTATTGCAGCACCACATATCTTACCACATATCCACCATGCTTGTGGCTGTGAGGGTCAGAAACCAGCTTTTGCCATTGGGCTTTCATTTTCATTCGATGGTTCCGACGCTCTTCAATTAGCCTTTTCTCCTGAGGAGAAATATCATATTGTTCCCCAGACATTTTTAACTCGATGATAAGCTAATGTCTAAGAATGACTCCTAATTATCTCAGAAAATAACAATCAAAATATTATTCAGAAAGCTCTCTATCTTGAGCGCTCCCTAGCTCAAAACCAAAACATTGCCCGACTTCTTTTTGTAGACGGAATCGCGTCAAACCTACAGAATTCAGGCAAAGTTCTCTGAAACAGCGCCTTGCAAAATGCAGAAATTGAATTTCAACTTCATCCTGAATTGTTTTAAGCCTGTTTTACGGTAAATGAAATAAGTTTTAGATTCTGAACGAAATGCTCAACTCAAATATGCGTTGATTCGAAAAGTATTTTTGGGACAAATATGAAATTTATCAAAATATAGAGATCTCTGCGATATCTCTCGCTAAACACTCGCAGCAGCTACTGCCAAAACAAATAACTTTATTTGAGGCACTGAAATCCAAAAAGAAAAATGTTCTTCTTGCAGTGGAAACCTAAAAGGCTGCCACAATTTATATACACTGTGGCTGCCACGACTCAGATTCTTCAAGATTTCGGCCACGACCTTTGGCTCCAAGCTAAGGGCTTGGATATGTTGGTCATCGGTCATCTTTATTTTCATCTTCAGTATCAGGACACCCAAATCCTTCTCGACGCCTCTAACATCCTGATCCGGGCTGAGTGACCAGCCATCATCTTCATCCTCCGATGTGAGTAGCTTCTCAGAGCAGGCCTAACGTGCATTGGGGTGCCCAATCGCGGGTGCGATTGGCTCAGTCCAATGCCATGACTCCGTCGAGACAGACCTGTCCCTGGCGGCGCATCTGGGTGCACCCAGGTGGGGGAGACAAATTGGGCGGCCATGGTCGCCCAGATTGTCTCCCCCACCTGGCACTGACACAAGTTAGCAAAAAGTGGCGGGGGGAGGGTCACCCCCTCCCCACACACCTACACACAACCTCTGAATAGAATCGGCCGACATTACGTCACTCTGACATCATTTTTTCAGCCGGCCTATGGTAGCTAGAAAATTGAACCCTATTAGTAGGTACTGGTGGTGGTGGTGGGGGGGGGGGGGGGGCGAATCGGCCCCACCTGTATTTTTTTTCTCGACGAAAAACGATAAAAACTAGGGGCTCAAAATTTGGTGACCTTTCCTTGCTATTCATTGGGCACATTGTATCAAATTTTTGAATTTCTAGCTTGCGCAGAGGCGTTTCCAGGACGAGTTTCTCGGGGATAGTTTTGGCCCAGATTTGACTGTTTCGACATTTGCCGCTAAGCAGCGACTTAGGTTTATACTGGTGACCAGTGGCACCACCCGTCATATGTATGCGCCTAAAGACCCTATGAGACGTCATTTTACAATGAAAATATTGGAATAGGCGGATCCAGGTACCTGATAAAGGGTAATATCAATGTACTGCCCCCCGTCTTAGCGTGCTTGAATCGAAAACGTGTATTTTGTGCTCACGTTGCATATTTTACATGATATATGAGACATATCATGTCATAAGACACATGGTATGCCATGACAAAAACTCAAAACATCATCCCAAGCTAGCTTACCTGAATCCGCCTATAATTTTTGAAATATCCAAAATATCGGAATATACCTACCTATATAAAGGCCCAGTTCATGAAGAAGGGTTTCCTGAAGTTTCATCGAAATCGGTCAAAAAAGAAACAAGTTATACCTAGCATTTTTATAGTGATGAGTTGTAAAACGCGATTTTTTTCGAAAATTTCTGCTTCCTGAGGACCCTTAATTTTGAACTTTTTTTTTACTTTCTAAAGTCAATCTGCAAGTTCACGATGAGAGCAATCGTATGGCGTTTGTCTTATTAAGATCAGACATTAAGTTTTCGAGATATCAAGGGGGGGGGGGCGAATCGGCCCCCATCCACCAGTTAACGTAGTCCAGAGAGCCCACCAGTAAAAGGGTGAAATTAGGACATAAGGTGTCAAATTGATGCCGCTGAAGGTACCTACTGCAAGTTTCGTGTTGACACGTTTAACGGTTGAAGATATTGCCGAAAAAAAGGGGAGCTCTGTAGAGCCCCCCCCCCCCCCAGTCATGCGAAAAAAAGATTGGTTTGCAAAGCACCAAGTCCTACAAATCAACTTTAGTTGATGGGGCAAAAAGGCAGGTTGGTGGGGCAGCTGCCCCACCATCTGTACCTATAGGAAGCTGCGCTCCTGTTAAGTTAGGTACCTATTTCTGCCACTTCTCCGCGCACCGACGGGGATCCGCGCCAACCGACGGGGGGGGGGGGGACGGATATCCGCCCGCCCCCCCCTGAGATCTTGAGAACGAAGCAAGATAGCGACAAGCGGTAAACGGCATAGCGTGCACACGAAAAAGGTTTATATTTTTTATAGATCATTTTCAGGGCAGGTGAAAGATGATGTCAAATAAGTCGAAAAGTAAAAAAAAGCGGCGCAAGACATTCTCGAATAACTAAATCGAAGTAGCCAAGTTGGGAACAAACTAAAATAGCACCATCGTGATGCTCTCGTCGACCTGCATCGAAACATATAGGTATAGGGGTAGGTTGATATCGCAAGATCAAGTTAAAGGAAATAGTTCACTTTCACGAAATTATTTTTTTTTGCAATGGATTTGTGATTTTTTATGTTCAAAATGATCAGCAAAGAAAATAAAACCTTTTTACAACAAAATATTATTTTCTATATTTTTGATATAGGAACACGGACGTATAAATAAACTGGACTGACGATCCCAATGGACCTCCTATGGAAGATAGTGAAGCCGACAAGGCGCCATTTTACGTTGCCAAAAACCCGTGCTCTGAAAGGTCATCGAGCCAATACAATTGGAATTGCGTCTAAGCCTCTAAACGGATGATCGGATCGAGATGCTGGTGGTACCGTTCGACGGGTAATGCTTTGAGGCAGGTGATGATGCATGTCACAGGTCATTCGGTGTCACGTGGCGCGTGCCACGTGCCGACAAAGTCAGGAAGGGCAAAAACCTTCAAGCGACGCTCCAAATTAACCCTCGCCGGCCGAGGGGGGGGGGCGGGTGCCGCCCCCCCATAGGGTTTTTTTCGCGATAGCTCCGAACATGCTGGCGATAGAGAGCTGAAACTTGGCATACCTGACCTTTGATCCAAGCCGGATCTTTTGACACCAACCGCATTTTTGGGTCAGGTCAGGTCACTGACCTATGACGTCATAAGTGAACCTCTGCACGGTCTTCAGATGTCGCAACTTCACAACGCCCTCACTGCCAGAGGAGATGTCACAGGGAAATGAAACTTGCAGGATCTAGTATCCATTATGAGTCCCACAATTTGTATATCTCGGATTTTTCCTAAAGGTCATATGAGGTCAGGTCATTTTCGTGACCTCACCATTATAAGTCAATGGGGAAAAATTCAAACTGCTATTCTGGCGCCGGGAACGATCTCCAACTATCTCAAGCACACAGAATCGTGATTTGATGCACTCCTTGCAAGGTTAGATGCGTCACTTTTGCAATGTTGACCTTGCGTGACGTCATTTATGACGTCATCAAGGTCATATTAGTTTTTCGTCAATAACTCTTGATCAAATTGAGCTAGCGAGTCGGGAAAGCCACCAATGGACTCAGGAAGACCTGCCGAATCGAATGATATGCGACATGACCTCTTTCGACCAACTTCGTGACCTGGGGGTGCTGACCTGACCTTGACCTGAGGTCAACACCCCAAGTTGACCTGACCCGGACAAAAAGTATATCATTCGACGCGCCTGAGCGAGACGAACACGATGCTGCCAAAATCGGCGCTCTGCGGCCGTTTTTTGCGAAGTTATTCACCAAAAACTGAACCGTACCTTGGGGCACTTGACCTGACCTCAGAGGTCACCGGTTGACCTAGGACCTTAAAATCGGGTACCAATCTCTGCGTCTCGTAACGGCGCACACGCTCGTTTTTTCCGCGACGCGCTAGCTCCACCAGGGGCGAAACGGCGAGGGGGGGGGGGGTCGTACCCGCCCCCCCCCCCCCTCGGCCGGCGCGTATGTAGAAAACCAATAGGTCCGGCGAGGGTTAAACGGTGGGCGGCGCAGGTGCCAAATTCACAGGTCACGTGTCCCGGTGATTGACCATTAACATATAGTATGCTCGGCAGCAGGGGGTGCGGAATGCACGCGCCAGGGGCGAAAAACATGTTTTGAGGAGGCATCCTCCGATTCCGGAAAACCTTGACGTAGGCACACCAAAGTTGGCACACTGACACTACTGGACACGCGCTTCAAGGTGCTGTACAAATAGGTGTGCTGGGGTGCACGGTGCACGTGCTGTGCACGTGCAAACCTTTTCATGTTACACTCTGTGTCACATACACGGGCAGCGCGGGTAGCGCTAGCAAGCTCAAAGTGCCAAATTTACACAGGCCACCCAGAATGTATTCCCGCATAGTTATTGAGCATATCCATCTCCTGGTGGACCCCGAAGGTGCGCTCTGCACGTGCAAAAAATTATCCGCGCCGGGCGGTGGGGATGCTTGGACACCCCATGTAGGTTTATGTAAATATCTCGAAAGCGGCGTTGTGGAGCGCCGCCGTTTTTAGCACACCCTTTCATGCATCCTTTTCACACATGCTGCATAACTTTTAGACCCAGGTCACTCAAGGTTAGGTCACCAGGTTACGTCCAAGTGGCCTTACCTTAGGAAAAGTTATAATGCCCGTCATAGCTACACAATCGGTCTAAAACGTTGGCAGCGATTACTAAGAGCACCATATATACGTAAAGTACCTCTACCTCGGTAGTTCACTGTCACTGACCTAGGGTTCTGTTGATTTTGCGACCTTTCTATTATAGGTAGGGGAGAGTGGGGTGGGTTGTATCAGTTTTTACTCCGAGACCCATAACCTCGTAACTATCCGTGATAAACTCATTATTTCCATACCATCCCCTTCCTTGATTCTTCTGCTTTTTTGTGCAAAGTAACTTTTCCGCTACCTCTACCAGTTTTTCTTCTACGGTCTGCCGAATAGAACAATGTTTTTGATACAACTTGCCCCATGGCTTGGGTGAGTTGTATCACATGGTGGGGTAATTTGTATCACTATTTCACGTTTCAGGGAGTGTGCTTGCTACTGGTTTTGAACATAACAACAACATTAAATGGGGTTAATACAATGTATAGGTATGCTCAAAGGCTTCACTTTTATTAGACCAAACTTAGGTCAATGCAATCCGAACGAAACATCAACAGACTAGACGCAAAAGTGGCCCGTTAAGAGCAAAGAAGCCAACACATTGTGCCGAAATGGAACGAGCATTGACTAGCTACCTACAAACGGGAGCCAGGGCTTAGCTTTCGCGATCAAAAGCAACATACCCACACATACATACATACATACAAGTTACAACATACCCCACCCGGCTCTGATACAACATGTAC